TTGAGCCCAAATGACTTCTGGAAAATCCAGATCTGGTTTTGAAACTGCAGAGACGGATTTCCAGGGGAAAACCACACAAAACTGCATCAGTCCAATCACCTGGTTTCATTTAAGCCCACGAGCTGAAATCATCCACCTAAGATAATCATTTCCAAGCCGATCTGGATTCAGTTCTGATAAGACAACAACTGACTGGCAGTTAGGAAACCTTTCCCCCCCCCCCTTACTTTTTTTTGTCCTTTTGCTTTGGCTCCTTCTGCATCTCTGAATAGGACCAGAAAATGATGGGGTGGTAGCAAGAGCTTTTCTCGCCTGGCCACAAAAATAAGAAGTACCCCGTCCTCATCCTCCAATCTCCTGGCATGGGCGAGCATGAATGTATTTCATCTAAACAATTCGGCTTTGGACCATTTCCCCAGAATTGATTTGGACCTCTGAGAGCTGAGCAGAGCCAGGCAGGACCCCCCACGCCAAAGCTGACATTGTTCCACCCCTTGTATCAAGGCCAGCTTTGGCCTGTGCTCTTCTGAGAGATGATACCCCTCATTGACTTAGAGTGGTGATTGGTGATTGCTAACTCGGCTCTTGGAGAGGAAAGCACTTCCTCTTCTGCATTGCTATGAGCAAAGGAAATAAAGCAGCATCTCTCCCAGAAATGGCTGCACCTCCATCTCTTGAACCCTTTTGCTCCCATACTCTGGGAGTTCTGCCTCCCAGACATGCTGATTTAAGGATTTATCAAGAAAATACCATGAATTTCAGCAAGATGCTTCAGGGTGGTGGTGGGGGCTGAGCAAGGCCAGAAACCAAGACTGCCTAATGCTCCCCACTGAGAGGAAAGGCTGAAATATGGAGGGTTCAAGCTCCCTGGACAAAATGGTACTTAAAAAGTCCAATAAAAATCATTCTAAGAAGAATTACGATCAGATGCTGGGCCCATCAGATTGCTCAACTTGGCTCGGCCTCCACTGGGCTTTCACATGGAGGCAGCATGAGCAGCTCCTGGCGAGATGGATTGCTCCCTGGTCGCTCCTTTGGGCAGGGATCAGGGAGATCCAGCCCTCCAGCAACATGGGGATCCATGACGCTGTCAAGTCATGGCTCGCAGGCTGTCAGGACACCCGACTCGCTCCCAGCCCACAGATAACCCTCTCCCAGCACCCAGCAAGAGGTTCCTTCGCTGAAGGGAGGTCTCTAACCCTGCTGAAATGTTCTCAGCTGCCGGCCTTATGCAGACTTGGTTGGGCTTGAGCAGATCCCTAAATAACCCTTCTCTCCACAACAACGATGCAGAGCTACGGGCCTTGCTCCTTCCCCAGTGGGGTTGTTCGCTGGCAGGATCGGGGGGGGCTTGGGACTGGGGGCTGCAACCATGCCAGCAGCACCAGCGTGAGATGTCCCCTTTGTAGCAAGGCTGGAAAGTGTTGCAGACACCTATCCAAAGCTTTGGTCAAAGGTGAAGGGCACATCCTGATCAACACACCTCCGATCCCTACAGCCATCCCTCTTGGCACTCATCCAGAGGGATGCATGGGATGCAGGGAGCACCAAGCTCTCCCTACCTGCTGCAGGGACCTCCTCTTACCCAAGTGTCTACGTTCTGTGCCTGCAATAGGCTGTGCATCCCCTCGTCCTGATCAAGGGTGCTTTTGCTGCAGGCTCTGTGCTTTTGCCTGTGGGGGGACCAGCCCCTGCACCGGCGCACCCAGCACAGTGCCTGGCACTGGGCTGGCGGCTGTGACTCACAGCCCAGGGCTGCTGCGGGTCACACTGCCACAGCACATCAGCTCAGGGCACACACTGATGAGGGCTGTGGCCAATCGAGGTGGCACAAGGAATGTGGGGAGGCCGAATGCAGCTGCCCCAGTTGGCATCTGCCCAGAAGAGTGAGGAGAGGTCACAGAAAGGAGCAGTTTGTGCAGCTGTGTTGGTACCCACATGGAGCACACGAGTGGGAGATGTATCACCCTCAAACCCGTCCTCTCCCATGGGCACAGCAGGGCTGGGGGCAGCTCTTTCCTCTCAAGCCAGAATGTTGGTTGATAGATGTGGATAAATGGTGCTTCCTCCAAGACCTTGCTTGCAAGCAGCCCCTCTCGTGGTCACTCTCTGGAAAGGTGCAGGAGGATATGGAAACTGGCATGGAAAGACTGAATAATAGAGAATGTCCTCAGAAAGGCCTCTTTGGACTCATGAAAAGCAGCATGGCCAGATAAATGAGCTCCTAACAGCAACAAAAAGACCTTGAGAAGTCCCTGTGGCCAGTTCAAATTTGGGGACGCTGCTCAAGCGTCACCACTTGCCACTGGCTGGCTTAACAGGGCAGGCTGCATGCAAAAGTGACCTGAGGGATGGACAAAGCAATCTTTCAGTCATTAAGAAATGCATCCCATGCCATGCAACCTCATTTCAGGCAGGGGAGGGGATGGCACAAGCCAAGTACTTGTGGGACTTGGGGATGGCACAACCCAAGCCCTTAGGAAAGGGCTGGGGCAGCTACACTGGGAGGGATGTACTCTGGTCCCTGGAAGGAAGGAGCCCAAGGTAAGGAAACTCCACCAAGGATGAGGTTCTGGCTGGGAGGTCCCTGGTGTGAGTGTCCGGCTGCTTCCACTCCCTGGGTCAGTGAAGGTGCAAGCATGGAGGTGCTACAGCTCCACACACAGGTCTTCACCTCAGGAGCCAAGCTCCTTGCAGAAAGGGATGTAGGAAGACATCTCTGCATCTCCTCAGCTGCCAAACGTCCACATTCATTGACAGAGACTGGCACTGTGGTCTGCTCTGCCACCCCTGCGGCAGGCTGGGAACAGAGCGGGCCTGGGAGGCTGTGGCAGGAGGAACAGAAGGATCCTGGTGTGGAGCACAAAACCTCGGTGCTCCCAGGCCATGAGACAGAATGTTTAGTCTGCAAGTCCCTGCTGAATAGCAGGGGCCCAGGAGAAATGTGGTGACCAGCCCGTGAGAAATCTGCATCCAGCACGTTCAGGTGGCACTGCTGGGATGCACCTACATTGCCCCAAGGTGCAGTGTTGGGTGAATGAAGGAGCTGCAGAGGCTGCAGGAGCTGCCAGCTCTCACACTGGTCATGAGAAGACTCGGGGTGTGCCTGCCCATGCCAGGGGCTTGGGTCTGCCATGGGGTCCCTTGCAGACAGGAAAAGATGGGGGGTGGAACAGGAACTCAGGGAAGGAGCTCTCTGGGGAAAAGGAGGTGGTGAGGTTCACTATGGGCTGTAATTGAGCTCCTGAGGAGACGGGCAAGATTTATCCTGATGGAGGTGGGTAAGTGAGGCTCACATTGACAGGAAACAGTGCTGTAAGGAAGACAAGACCTTCCCCTGCTTGGCTTCAGATCATTAGGTGGGACAGTCTCTTTTTCATTGTGATGGACTCACCAAACCGCACGCCTCATGTTGGCACCTAATTTATAAGGCAAAGCAGCAAAAGGACTGGTCACCAGTGCCTGAGCTGGCAGCATGGCTGAGGCAGGTTTTTGCTGTGTCTTTATGCTCCTTTCAGCCCTGCATGTCAGTGGAGATGCTTTAGGAAGCACGCACAAAGCAATAGGCACAAACCCAAGGCTGCAGTTTGGTTTTTGCTCATACCAGCCTAAGACAAGACCCTGAAACAAGAGTTGCTGCTACTGTGTTTACGAGTGGCAGAACTTGTCCTGGGTATCAGTCCTATGGAAAACCCTGGGCTTTGCTTTCCCATGACACTGAGGACTGAAGACCTCTGTCCTTTTGCTCCCTGGGCTTCCCATCTCTGGAAGAGCTCCTGAGCATACAGCAACAGGCACAGCCTGCATGAAAAGCCCTGCCACAGGACAAGCCTTGGCTCAGAGTTCAAGTCAAGGTGATGTCCATCACTTTTAGTACAAAATCCTTAATTTATGACCCCTCCTGCACTGGTGGGACAAAAGTAAACATCCTTTACACCCCTTGTCCTTCACAGCCCCAACGCTGCTCAAATAGCCTCAGAATCCACCACAGTGGGACGAGGTGAGTAACCCTTTCCCGAGGCCTCTGGCTCCTGCCATCACCCCCTGCTCAGACCAATCTGACCGGAGGGAACTGGGGACAGGATAGTCCCCAGTGACGCAGTGGGGCAGGAGTCAGCCCCTCTAGGGGTGTAAATAAGGAGGGGATGATGGTGGGGTGTTGGTGCAGTTGTGGTGCTGGAGATGGGGTATATGAAGAAACGTGTTGAGCCCAGTTGCATGGGTAGTATTTGGTGCAAGAGAAGGGAGGGGAACAGGAGGGTACATACGCTGTGGTATGACAAAGCTTTCTCAGGACTATCCTCTGTATTGCAGCTTGCATATATACAGTGATCCAGGTCCATCAGGGCTGTGCTGCTGTCCTCAGGCTTCAGGACCTCCTGCTCCAATCTAAGAGGCTCCAAGCTCCTCCTGCTCTTACAGTTGCTGGCCTTGAGACACTTTTGAGCACAACTGGCCCCAACAATGCCACTAAGCACAGTGTGTCCCACACCAAGGACACACAAAGGCAGACATGAGATGCATTGCTATAGCATACACAAGTCACACCAGCACCTAAGGTTGCTTAACACAAGCAATAACAGGCAAATGAAGGCAATGCTTCCATGCAGCAGCAAGCAGTGCTTAGGTGTTTTGTTCTCTCTCGGAGGATTTTTGTTTCTCCAGTCCTTCTCCACCAGGACTCAGTGAAACTGATAGCCTCTTGAGAAGGTAACCCTTAAACTTCAACAATCAACCAGTGGTGGTCTTGAGTCCTTACCTCTTTCCCATCAAACATTGCTTCCACATTGAGTAATAGATACAGCTCCTCTGGGAAAACTTTTCTGCATCTTCTCTAAGCTCCCATGTGTTCCTAGAAACACCCATTCCCAGGATGCTGAACACGCCTTTCAAACACTTGGGCATTTAGGGCATAAAAGGAACCTGCAATTTCATCTCAGGCAGATGATGGCTCAAAAGACATTTACCATGGAGATGCTTTAAAAGAACAGACAACATACCTGCAGGCTCCTCTGTGCTGCTGGTGGCCGTGGTGGGGGGAGCGGCGGGGATTTCTGCGCAGGACAGCGAGAAGCAGATGGGAAAGGAGAGGAGATAAAAGTAGGAGGTATTATTCCAGATCCCAAAGAGCCTGGCCCCTGCACACACCTCGTTTTCCCTTCCCAACCATGGGAGGTGTTTCCCAACTATGTCCTCTAACAATGAGCTTTGCAAGAGCCCCAGAAAGCAGCAACCAGGCCTGTATCTACTGCGGAACTGGGCCTCAAAAAGGGTGTAGGAAAACCAAAACTTTTAGCTTTGGCTGCAAATAAAAGAAGATTGAGCCAGCCAGAGAACTGATATGGTCCCAGACACAACCTGCTGCAAGTGCTAGGTCCCAGTGTGCAGCCCAGGGTAAAGGATGCTCTTGCAGGGGCTTGGAGGGTGCAGGGTGCCCAGCGCCAGCAGACAGTGGAGCACTGCTGCCTTTCCTTGTCCCTGGGTTGCCCCTTCCAGCTGCTGTTTCCATCCATGCCTCAGGCAGTGCTACCCCTCCTCTTGCGTGAGGAATCATGCAGGTAAAGCATGCATCTATATGCTGTGATATGAGCGTTATTTAAAGGAAACAGAAACATATCTGGTGCCAATGCAATGGTCCCTGGCTTTGATTTGGGGCTGGCTTTGCATAGCTGAAACCATATAATGTTCTGGATATTCATGCCCAAGTCTGACTGTGTTTGTTGATGCTAAAAACGATGGACTGCAGATGGAGTACATTATATGGTCCGAACTTTGGCAAGATGATCTCCTTTCCCCAGTGCACATACACAGATCTCATTACCGACATCTTTTGTGCATTTAGGGCACAGTGATGCAATTTCTGTGCATCCCTGGGAATCCTGGCAGGGGAACACACCACCAGTCCATTTGGAAAGTGGAATTTCAGCATGATCTGGGGGTTGGCATCAGTCTTTTTCTGCTTTTGCTCTCAGGAACCTGCCTGGCCATAGAGGCAGGGATTGCTGGGGTCTGTCTGAATTGCAATGATGGCAGCTCACAGGGATGCAGCCCAGTTAGCATTAGATTACTTTTTGTGCTGTTCAGTCCTCATACAATTTAACACAGGCCCAAACCCATGTGAAACACATAGTGCATAGTCAGGCAGTACACGAACAGCCAGCACAGCCATCCTGGAGCTGGCATCTGGATGAGTGCTCATGCTTGCTGGTGAGGGCTGCAGTACAGACAGACCCCACTGGTGCCTGTGGGTACCAGTGATTGTATGTGTGTACCAGTGATGAGGTGATTGTTGCATGACTATTAGTCTTTGGGACAAGGAAGATGGAAACAATGGTAAATCAGAGAGTAACTGCTCTTGCAGAGAAGGTGAACAGCCCCTTGCTAGCTGCAGCGTACATGCACCCTCTCAGTGCCAGACAGGAGAGCAGTGTGGGAAGGGATGGAGGGCAAGTGCCCTCTACTAAGCATGTACAAAATGTCTGTGAAGTGCACCCCTCACCACAGGATGCACTGTCTGATATTTTTCAAGGATGAAAACGTACTGGTTGGGTTTTTCTAGGATGAAAGAATTGTGAGTTGCTCATATCCTCACTTTAACTGCTTTAGCATCGTATGTGAAGATCAAACTCTCAAGAACTGCACAACGGCTTCATAGCCAGGCCAGAGTGTTGCTTGAAACACATCTGAACACAAGTTTTGGCCCCTCAGAAGGGACATTTTGCAGAGACACAGCAGTCAGGGGCTCTTGCGGGTGCCAGGCTGGTGGCCAGGTTGAAGGGCCAGGGCAGGGCAGCCCTGCCAGGCTCACACCACATCCTGGTGTGAGCATCCTGGAGCGCAGGCTGTGTGAGCACAGCCCAGCTCCAAACGCCTGCTCGGACTGTGTTGAAATTCTGTGTCTGTCTTTATTTAGTGCGATGAATCCCAAGGGAGGTGATGCAAGGAACAATTTACTCTCTGATTTGCCATGGCTCTGGGGAATGATTAATGATAAACCTTTGCGCATACTTGCTGCAAAGCATGCTGAAACTGTGACTGCAGCATCTTGGGGAAACAAGCATCTGGTTTGAGCTCTTGCTGTCCCATTGCAACACAGGGAAGAATGACTCTCTAGTGACTGAAAGCCACCCTGGAATGTATGTTTTCTTCAGCAGGAGAAGGTGGAGAAAGGGTATCTGCCCCATAGCTTGGCAATGGCCAACCCAAGAGGCAGATGCTGTGAGGGGACAGCACAGGAGCAGACTGTGGGCTCCCAACAGACTTGATTCTTTCAACGTTCACTTTTCTTTTCCCACTGGGCCTTCTTGCCCCCTTTAGCAGCGGGGAGTCAGCCTCGAGGGGAGCAGCCCCTCCTTCCCAGCCCATCCCAGGCACTGTAATTCCAGTGCTTTGTTTCGTTAGGGCAGGTGATGTCTCACATGAGGTGCATGAGGTACTGAATGATCCAATAACAGCAAAGCCAACAGGCAGCAGAGAGGAGCACTGGGCTGAAGCACACCTTGTCCCAGCAGTGAGTGCTCAGAGGGACTGGGTGGGGATGTGGATGTCTGCAGAACAGGTGCTGCAACAGAGAGAGTTTGGGAGCTGTACCTGGTGCTTGATGCTGTTGTTGTGAGAGCAGAGGATGACAAATTAAAAAGCAAACCCAAGAAAGCAAACAGTAAACCAGTCTATGTTTCTGGGTGGGTTGTGTGAGTGTAAGATCCCCTTTAGCAATCCAGGTGCTGTTGGCTGTGTTACTGTGATGGCAGCTCCAGAAAACCAGCAGTTCCTCTGATTTGAGCTCTGTACCAGTGCAGCACACAGCCTGATTTTGGACTTGTAATGATCTCCCTGATGTGGTACCCCAAAGCAAATGTGCTCTCTCTATGAAGCAAAATCAGATTAGTGGCAAATTTGGCTGTAGATTCCCTTACACAACCCACCCAGAAGGCAGATGAGCTTCTTGGAAGCTAGGGGTGAACTTTGGATGATATGCCCTATGGGCAGTAGAGCTGGTCAGGGGTCACAGGCCCGTCATCCCCTGAGCACTGCCTGTTGGCACAGATGTGCGGGTTAGTAGCCGCCCAGCCCGGGCAGTGGCTCCTGTGGATATATGCAGGTTAATATCTCTAATCTACAGACACGGAAAGAGCAATCCACCTACTTATGCAGGGGGCAATGGGAGACCGGCTTTGCTGGTAGCCTTTGGCGCATCGATTGCACGTGATGCCGGTGACACCGTCTTTACAGGGACATTGGCCTGTGGTTTGGTTACAGGTTTGGCCGGCGGCACCCACGGGATGGCAATCGCACTCTGTGGGGGGAACACACAACAAGACGGTCAGGGAGGAAGAGCTCTGGTGCCGGTGGTGTTGGAGGGAATGGGGCTGCCGCAGCGCTCCCGGCACGGCTTCACCTTCTCCTCAGTGGTGCAGAGCTCCAGCAAGTGTCCGGTCCAGCCGGGACTGCACCGACCTGAAACAGAGGTGGCGTTTGGCAGAGGGGTGTGCGCGGTCATCGCTTGGTGCGGAGGGGCAGCGCCAGAGATGGGGCAGCTGAGCCGCAGCTGGTCCCACTGCAAAGACGGAACCACAGCCAAGACATCCTTCCCAGGGAATGAGGGCAATTGCCAGGGAGGCAGCATGGCGTGGACCTGCTCCAGGACCCCCACCCCTGCACGCTGCAGCGGCCGTGTCCCACGGGTGCTGTGATCAACAGTGTGCAGGACTTGAGGAGGAGGGGAGCAGGCAAGGCTTGTGGAGCCACAGCACCCACTGCCCACACCCCAGCCAGCTTCAAACTCCCTTGGGGTCCCTGGAGCTATGGCGGGGCTGTAAGGAAGAGGTACAAAATCAAGGAGCATTTCATCACCCCTCCACACAGGAGACCTCAGGCAGAAAACAACTGCTTTTAGAGATGTTGGGAATTCATTTCACGTGCGCTGCAGAAAAAAAAACCACAAAACCACCCTCCTTTCAGTGCTGTTGCTTGAGCCCTTCCCCGCTGAGCAGCATCCCTGGCAGCTGGCACTGTGGGCACAGGAAGGAAATGCCCTTGTGGGATGCAGGCAAGCTGGAGGACCTGCTGTTCCTGGCCAGATGGATGGAGGCTTGACAGCAGAGCTGGGCAGATGTGAAGGGTTTGGCAGAGGATGTAAATACTGCACTTGAAAACATTCACCATCTCATTTCCCACAGTGGGACTTACTGGCGCAGCTGTTTGTTACAGGGGAAAAAAAGAAGCTAAAAAACCCCATCAGGGCTTGTTATCATCACTGCTCCAAAAGGATTATGGCCTTGCACATTTGTTAACAGCCCTGATTTCTAAGAGCTGCAAGCGCCATGCCAGACTGTGGTCTGCCCCTGCTGAGCGGTGGCAGGGAAAGGCAGGAAAGCTTTCCTTTTCTTGTGCAGCATCCTCGGGAATGAGCCAGCCAGAACCCTGCCGGGGGAGCACTGCTCCTGCTCTCCTCCTGCCCCTCAGGGGAGCTCTGATTTGGGGTTTTTGAACACTTCTGATTTGGGGTTTTTGTGTAAAAGTCCTGCTCTTACCCCCTGCCTGGAGCTGGCTCTGGAACCAGGCACTTCAAACCTGTCTGTAGCGGAAAACTTTTCTATCAAACCCAGTTTTGATTGGAAAAGTTTCAACATTGAATCAGTGTGGCTGGTGATGGGCGCAGGGAGCAGAGGATGTTTAGGTGGGAAAGCCTGCACGCTGCAGCCCCAGGGGATGGCTTCAGTATTGCTGGGGGAGAGGAAATAAAAATACCTTACTCCAGAGCCTGAAGAAGGAACGGGACAAAAAGGGGTTAAAGAAGAGCAGAGAGGCTGGAGTTAACACAAAAATAAGCAAATCAGGGAAGGGTTACACAAGAAGAGGCAAAGGGCAGGAGGATGGGGAGGAACATGCCTCATGTTTCAGGCGTCCCCGCTGGAGCTGCGCTTGCTGTTTTCAGGCATCGCCTGCAAACCCCCATCCTGTGAGTAATCCTCCCCCATGTGAACGGATTGCAGTGACTTCAGTGGGACCACATGGATGAGAGAGGGGGAAGAAAGAGGAGAAAATGGGAAAAAAAAGCCTTTGTGATGAGTAAGATTTACAGAATCAGGCTCTTGGAGGACGGGCTGCAGAGCACAGAGTACTCTTTGGACACCACATAAATAAATAGCAATGCTGCTGCTTCCTTCCCTCATGAGGTAATGCCTCGGCACAGCTTGTCCAAAGCTGCCGTGGTTATTTTTACAGACATATCTGTCTGAGGTTGTCTACTCTCTTCCCAAGCTGGGCTCCTGAAGGGGTCTGCAGCACGGATGTTGGCCACGTCCCCGTGGGCATGTGTGATGTGGCCTAAAGCAGACAAGTGGCAGAGGAGCTGGGAATCACTGGCCCTTGGTCCAGGACCTCACCAAGAGAAACCCGTGCTGGAAGGCTGCTGTCCTTCCAACACGCCGTGTGCTAAACCCTCTCTGGGTGGAGGGATGTGCTTTCCGACACTGGTCCCCAGCTCTTCACTGCAGCACAGGACTCTGAGAGCCTGGGACAAGTGTTTTGGGCAGCACCACTCCAGCCCCTTCAATGCCTGACCCCATTTTGACTTCTCCATCTTCCAGAAAACTCTCTGAAACAGCAGCAGCTCAGCCCTCCTGGCATGGGTCTCCTGGCATGGGGAGGCAGGAGGGGGTCTAAGCAGTGTCTGTAGATGCACATTTGCGGTCTCTATCCTGGAGGAACTGAACCAGTGCCAGCAATTAGGAACAATTAAAGGCAATTTGCAGTTCCCTGGCCAGTGCAAACACTTGCAGCCAGCAATTACAGGCTCTTCCTTCTCCTTCCCTAGCCATGGGCTGCTGGTGGTTAATGCTGATTTTTCCCGTTCAGTTCAAATTCCTTTGCGTTGTAACCCCAAACTAAGGAAAAACTGCCCTAGAGTCACAAAGGTGGTACAAACACCCCTTTGGCATCCTCACTGCCTTTCTGATAGACACCTTTAGATTCACAAAACGTGTTTTCATGCCTGGACTTCCTGGGTGCAAGTGTTTGTTCGTCATTCACCGCGATGCAGAGTATCAGCAGTCCCCTGCACTAAGCAGGGAGCAGACTGTGAGGCAGAGCTGAGAAAAACCTCACTGACGACCAAAGAAGGGTGCCTGGGCCATCCTTGCAGGTAACAAGGGGGATATCATCTGATTTGTCCTCTGTATCCTCATGCTTTGCTTAAACGGATTACCCCATAGAGGACAATGCAATGGTGAAGGAAGTGAGATGTGAGAGGAACAAACAGGAATGATGTTGCAAGAAAGTGGTGCATCTTTAGTCTGGTAGTTCACACAGAATCAGGGGGAAGGGAAATAACTGTCCTGATTTAGTTCTTTCATAAAACCTTTAAGAAAAAAAATCTGTGATGAGTGCCTGTGGCAGAGATGACCAGGAATTACTGGTGGAAAATGAAGTTATTTCCTGCTTAAAAACCTGGCTGTGGAGGAGAAAACAAGGAATGGGAACATATAGTGAGGCTTTAATGGGGAATGAGGGCAGTGGCAGGGGTGCCTGTGTCCAGAAAATGTAATTTTTCTTATATAATAGCCATGACCTGGAAAGAAGGGAGTTAACATCATTTCTAGGTGATCACCTTCAACTTGGCTAGTCCAAACATGAGGAAACCATGTAGGTCTGCGAGACTGACACAAAGTGGCCAAATGGGTGAGAGGATAGCAGAAAAAAAACAGTGTGCAGAAGGATGCATAATTGGAAGGAGGAAACAGGATGGCTTATGCGTGCTGAAGGATCCCAATTAACTACAACCACTCCAGGAAAAGATCTAGGAGTCAATGAAACATCTGGCTGATTGCAACAGAGCTCAGAAGAGCAACGAGATGGTAGGTTATATTATGAAAAGGGTAGAGAGTAACACTGAATGTAATATCATGACACTACAGAAATCAATAGTACGTCCTCAGCTGGGAAACCAGAGTAAAAGGCGCGGAGAGGCACCCATCTGAGGGCGATGGAAAAGATTAGGAATGCCTTGCCAAGAGACGATGGAGGGATGCCAAGTAATGCACAGCGCCGAGAAGGTCAGACAGGTGCTCCTCTTCACTGGTCCTTAAAACACAGGAACAAAGGGACATTCAATGCATTTAAAAGGCAACCTTTTTCGATGATAAAAGGAAATGCTTCTTTGCACTGCACGTAATTAACTCATAGAACTCATGCTACGAGACACCATGGCAAAGGCCCAACAGGATTAGATAGGCCTATGAATGAGAACATCTGTAGTTACATTAGCCGGGATTAATATATATTCGGATATAAGCACTCCAAGCCAGCTACTAACTGCCTGCAGTTAGGAAGAGATTTCCCCTGGGGGCATGCTATTGCAAAACTGTCTGTCGTGGAGTTTTATAACTCTGTCTGAAGCTTCTAAGACAAGCCACTATTATATGCACAAATCTGCTGAGGCAGGCCATCATCCGCTCGAGCAGAGGTGATGGTGCATTTTTCTGCCTTAGCTGAGATTTGGCTGGTGTGGGACTAAAAAATACCTGAAAGCAAGTCTTAGGACCATGCATGGGAGGATGCGAAATGCCCTGCTGTGTCTGGGCCACTGAAGGGTGACAAACAGCATGACAAAAATGCAAATATTTTTCCACCCCTGAGTTTAGGTCAGAGGTATTCCCAGCTGCTGATCTGCCCACACATACGTGTGCTGAAAGGTAAACAGTGGGCTAAGTCTCCGGGCTTAGCTCTCTTCAAGTGTGACCTTTTCGGAGAAGGCACCTGAAAGGATCTGCATTTTTACAGAATTAGCATCTTCCTGTTTTGGGGAAGCTGCTTCCTTGGGAGGTCTTCAGAATGATGAAAAATCCATTTGAACAACAAAAACACTCGCTATCACGGGGTGTCCAGATTCCCTCCTGTCACACAGTATCTGCAATAACTCCAGGGCTTCCAGATTTAAAAGCCCAAAGCATGATTGCTTTATATTGCGCCGTGCATGAAGCACTAAACCAGCAATGCATTAAACCTGAAAAAATACCTTAATTTGCAGTAGTCATCGGTGAAGGTTCCTGTTCTGAGAAGGAACCTTCTTCAGGAAATCAGTCAGTTTCAAGAATGAAAATAAGTACCCTATAGCCAATGTGCCTTAGGTACGTGTTTATATTTAACCATACTTTTAAATGCTTTTCCAAAATCAAGGCCAAATTGCCTCCCTTTGATTGCTTTCCTTCTTTCCTCCAAAGACTCCAAGTGGAGCAAAAAATGTGGTACAGAAGCTTTCTGCTGGAAAAAAAAAAGCACCAAAATCAAGCTTCT